TTTAAAACTTTCCATAAATTGCTACTTATTCCAAAGGTAATGTATTACTAGCACTACCCATTCTGAGTTCAAGAACCTTTGACAAATGTATGTCTTTTCTTTGAAATAGGCCAGAAATAATGTCCATGTCTCAGTAATAAATTAACTCTCCCTAAAAGTAGTTTCTTCTATCATCTTTCTGCCCTTCTCCGTTTTTTTTTCCTCATTTGCCAGTTCCCTTGTAGGCCATTGAGAAAACTCGAGTCTAATAGGTTTTCCTGCTATCACTGTAAATTCAATGAGTGAAAGGGAAAGAAGGTGAGTTTCCAAGGATTTTGTCCCCACCCCTATCTTTTGAAAAAGGATTGTTGTACAGACAAATTTGCTGACTTTCCAAGAATATAGTCTTAGTAGACATGTGTGAAACCTTCAGCTAGGCTGTATTGTTGAGGCTTTAGAGCTATCTTTTGGGGCTGAAGACAGTTTGACAAAATCAGCACAGTACTGATCAGAGGCAATTAGCTATGCCAAGAAGCACTCTAGCTTAGGTGCGCCATTAATATGGGCAAATTTATCACTCAATGAGTGGAAGTCTGTATTCACTGCCATGCCAGCTGTGCTTGGCTCCTGAGGACTTGTAGGCGCTGAGGTGTGGTTTCAATATCTCAAATTAGGGAAAGGGGCTAGTGAGCCCTCAGTAAAGCTATAGTCACACTTTCTAGCTATTACTTCTGTAAAGTAGTGCTTGAACACATCCACAAAACTGCTATGCAAGAGTCTAACGTTATCTTGTTTGGGTAACGTGAGGTAAGGTGAATAACAGTATGTTGAATATTAAGTGAACGATTTGATGTAAAAACTTGCAGTAACATATATAACAAAATAGTGTTGTTTATAATGCTTGTTTGTCTTGACCAGTTTATTAGGAAATTCAAATGGAACAGGATCTCTGAAACGACTTTGTTGCAACACCTCCACTGTATACGAAGTGGTTTGTAGGTTTTGCTTTTGGGAACTCAGGAAAGCTATAGGGAGATATGTTTAAAAATTGAATTCTGTGCTATGTGATTGTTATTCCCAAGTTATTAAGTGAGTTGATCACAGCTCTTTATTTAGCTTATTATTTTAAATATATTTGCAGTTCTCTCAATTGTTAAAATCTACCCTTAGTTTAAGCAAGAGCACAAACTGCTGTTAGCTTTGCAATGTAGGATGTGCTCAATATTTATTAAATAGCAGATCATCTGAGTATTTTTTAATGCTTACACAATTTTTTAGAGTTTAGTAGATGGGTTTTTTGATTGTCAACATCAGCACTTGTGCTGGATTTTGGAAATACTAGACTTTTTTTTTTTTTAATTTCAGGATGAAAGTAAAAAAGCTGCCTATGATTCTAGCTCTCCATTTGAAGAGATTTAAATACATGGATCAGCTGCATCGATACACAAAACTCTCTTATAGAGTAGTTTTTCCTTTAGAGCTTCGTTTGTTTAACACCTCAGGAGATGCCACCAATCCTGACAGAATGTATGACCTTGTTGCTGTGGTAGTTCATTGTGGAAGGTAATAACCGTGTATTTCACATAAGGGATCTTTGTATGAGCTTAACTGTATTTTTTAAAAAAGTTCATAACTCTAACGGCATTTAAAAATCTCTTCAAAAAAAAAGTCTCTTTGTAAGGAAAATATTGTAGAACAGATAATCCTTTATAACGCATTTCCTTTAGTATTTCTTTTACAGAGCTGAGCAACATTTTCTGAAGAATGAATTTTATTGATTAGTTTGTTTTCTTGCTTTCAAAGTATGACTAGTAGATTTGTATTAGATTTTGCTATATTGAACAAATATTTTTATGATTTTAAGTCTTAACATCAGGGCTGCAGTACAAACTACTTACTAAGTAGATTAAAAAATCCCTAAGTGGAAAATGATGAATGAACATCTAGAATCACAGAATAACTTACATTGGAAGGTCAGCTACTTCAACCTCGAAGCAGGTCTAACTTTGTCTTTAGATTAGGTTGCATAGGACTTTGTCCAGCAGAGTTTCAGAAATCACTGAGGGAGGACATTTCGCTGCCTCGCTGGGCTGTGGATTCTAGTCTATCAGCATTCTGTCTGTGGATTTTTTTTTCCCTTATATCCAGTCAGTGTTTCCCATGCTGTAATTTGTGACCCCTTCCTCTTGTCCTTTCACTGTGCATTTCTGAGCTCTGCCTGGCTCTATTTTCTTTATAACCACTCCTCTTTAGGTAGTGGAAGCCAGGAGTTGGGTTCTCCCACTTAATCTTCTCCAGGCCGAGCAAAATCAACTCCCTCTGCCTCTCTTCATCCATTTCGTGCTGCGGGCCCCTGACAATCTTGGTGGCCCACCACTGGACTTCCTCCAGCGTATCAATCTCTCTCTTATACTGACAGGGCCCCATCTGGGAATCCCATGCCCAGTTCTGGGCCCCAGAGTGTGAATAGAGGGGAACAATCACTTCACTGCTGGCTGTACTCTTACAGTGCAGCCGTATATAGCGTCAGCCCCATCACCAAAGTGATATGCTGCTGACTAACAACTCAGCTTCCTGACCACCTGGGCCCACAGGCCCTTTTCTTCAGAGCTGCTACCTAGCCAGTTGGTTTCCAGCCTGTACCGTTGCATGGAGTTATTCTGGTACAAGACTTGGCATTTGTTGAACTTCATGAAGTTTTTGTCAGCTCATTCTTCCAGCTTTTTGAGGTCCCTCGAAATGGACAGGTACACATACATGTCATACACACAGATGGTAGCCTTCCCGCCCTGCTCTAGACATAAGGAAAATTGCGTAAGTGCCATTAGTCAGTTAAGGGAGTTCCAGAACTGTTTAGTAGTTGTCCATTTTCAGTTGTAAGGTTCAGATAGTTCTGAAAGTGTATTGTTTCCTTGGCTGAAATCTGATTAAAATACAGGACACATTAAGATATAGGACAAAGGTTTTTTTCTGTAACAGTTGTAGAGAAATTTCTTGTCTGTCATAACATAAAGTGCTGTGCATTAGAACTGTTTTAATTTACTTGGGAGCCCTTCTTGTTGCTGTGAGGATTCTTCGGACGTCTGAGCTGTAAGTTTAATTCAGTTTTCCTTTAGAGTGGAATTTTTTTTTTTTGCTTGTTTGTGTATCGGTTAAAGTGATTCCTGACTGAGGCTGTAGGGGAACAGCAGTTGTACACGGTTTTTCTTCATGAAGATTAGAAATGGTTTGGAATTTAGTCCATCCTTTTGTAACATCAGAATGTTTTTTATTTTAATTATTGTTAAATGTTGCTTTTCTACAAGAAAAAACACTTTAATGAAATACTTTTATACATACATATGATTTATGTTCTTTTTTTAATTTTATTTTACAGTGGCCCTAATAGAGGACATTATATTGCAATAGTGAAGAGTCATGATTTTTGGTTGCTTTTTGATGATGATATTGTAGAGGTAAGCTTTATGTAACCCTGGCCTCTTTTCCTCCTCCTCACCGGAGCACGTGTATCTCCCGTGCATGTGTGATTACTTAAAGTAAAAGGACTGGTATGCTGATGAAAAGAGGGTTTAACCACAGTATAAATCAGTGGTAACTGCAAGTGCAGGGCTGCACCTTACCATGTGACTCTACAATAGTTTGAATTGTGTCTTGGTTTTCATACTTCTTGAGAAAAGCTTCTCTGTGTAGGGCCAGCCTCTTTCTCCTTCGTTTAGTAAGCTACTTCTGTGGCCAGAATATATGGCAAATAAAGGTATAGATAAGTTGATTGGAAATTGGAATGATTTTTTGGAGCAATCACTTGTTCATGTTTTTTAGGAGCTTATGATTTAAGGTAATGGATTAGTCACATTGTCTGTTCTGTCAGATATCCTGGATTGCTTCAGTAGAAGCTGAAACAAATATCAAAATAGGCAGAAACTCCAGGTTTCTGAGATTTCACCCTAAAACTTAAAAGCTAACCCTAGAAACAGGAGCCTTTTGCTTCTGGTTATCTTATTAATATTAACCATACTTTGAGATACTCTTATTATTCAAAAAAATGTTTCTAAATCTTTATCAAGAACTTGTCGTAAATTACTTTTAACTAGTTTCTTGGAACAGCAGTATTCCCTTCACCAATTTTGACTTTGTCACCTTTCAGTTTAACAAGTTATATTTTATTCTTTGAGAGAAAGAGCAGAAACTGCTGGTGTCCCTATTCTTTTATGTTGTCCCAGGTTTTTTGCTTGTTCTGTCATCTTCCTTCGCAGCCCACCCTTGTCTAGGCTTATGCGTGAACAGAGGTATGATTGTGCTGTCCAGATTCTTCTTCTGACCTTATTTAGATTAATGAAGCCTGTAAAATGAATGATGTATATTTTTTCGTACAATATTGAACTGCATAATTAAAAAGCAGGAAAATGTGTGAGGCAGGAGTTGGACTTGCTGTGTTAATTGGCAGGACAAGTAAGAGTATTGAGGGCTTCTTTCTTGCAAGCCACGTTAAGGACTATTTTTCACACAAGGGAAAGTAAAATGATTGCCTCTGTATCTTACCAAGATACACTGTAAATTGAAATGTCTTCATAGGGTCAAAAGTTTGCTTTTCTACAGGGAGAGCAGATGGAGTTTGTGGTCATATCATTTCACAAACATTAGGGACAATCCCTCCAGTTCTAAGCAATAATAATTCTTGCAGTATATTAATATCTTGGCAGTAATATATTTTTTTTCTCTTAGCTGTTCTGAAGAAGAAGGAAAGAATATTTTTGCTCTTAGATCTAAAATATCTCACTGCCTGCTAGTCACATGGTTCTTCAATTTTGAATGACTTTCTTTTTCATCCCAAATAATGGGAATGAGATTAAATGTGACGTCTGCATAAGTGAAGGAAATTTTATCTTTCCCCCTTTTCGTTATTTGTAGCCTAATTGCCCTTGATTTAAAATGTGACAAGAGCTTACTTCTAGTTTCAGTTTCTTTTGTTTACAAAGATACTGACAGTAAAAACCTGATGGTACTCTTTTCACCTTCTAGAAGCTTTATATCTTTCCCAAAAACCTTGGTTATAGGAGGCTTTTCAGCCTAATATGGTCACAGGCAAGCATTGTTTATGACAAGCTTAGAAAAAGTTAGTCTTCCTTCCCTGCCTTTTCTTTATTCTCATCTGCAGTTTATTGGCTTACACTGTTTAGTTTAGTAATGACAGTCTGTACATACATTCTTCATACTGATTTTAAAGTTTCAGTAGGATAGTATTTTCTTTAAAACTTCCTTTTTTATAATCTTTTTTTCAAGTACTGCACCAAAAGTTGCATTTGTAACAGGTTCACTTAATACTAAAACCATAAATATATGTTACCCTCTGTGCACTTGATGGGAGAGAGGGAAGCCAAAAAATAAAAGATTTAAGAATTACTTGGATTTTATTACTTTCTGAAACAAGTGAAAGTTTATTTTTGTTTGATATGGAGAAGAATTCTTAAGAGTGGAGCTTAATGTAATGTATGTGTTATATAAGATATTCTTACTTTAAATTTTTGGGCCTTTGCATACAGAAAATTGATGCACAAGCTATTGAAGAATTCTACGGGTTGACATCAGACATCTCAAAGAACTCTGAGTCTGGTTACATCCTCTTCTATCAGTCCCGAGATTGAGGGGGAGCTGTAGCGAAGAAAGATTTTTATGCCTCCCTTCTTTGACTATCTTGGAATGGAGCAAGCACTGAAGAAAGTAATGCAGGAAGCTCCAGGGGCAGTAGCAGAGTTTGCACACAACTAAGCAAAGAATTTGGGATTTTTTAAAACTTCATATCATTTTCATTTTATTTGCTCAGGTATCATATTGACTACACATCTCCACTGCATCCCATAAGCAAAAAGAGAGATACCAGCCACTCTTGCAGGAGCTTTCAATAGCTAATATTACCTTTGTGATCCTAATTCAAACCCTGTTAAGGTCACTGGAGAACTTTTCATGGACTTCAGTGGAATTTGAATCAGGTTCGAACTGCACTGCCAGATTAGTGCAATAGGAGTATTAGAATTCTGATATTTTATACAGACTTCTTGTATAAAAAGTAAAGGACTTTTTGTGAACATAATTTCCTGTATTTAAGTTGGAAAGAATCAGGTTGGGAGGGTTAGTATGTAAGCAAGAAGATATGTTTGGGCCCAACACAATTGCCTTCTTGATGGTAGTAGTTTAACTGCAAATATAAACTGGTGTCAGGGAGGCAAGTATGTTTTGCTTCTCTGAAGAAGCTTACGTTATTTATAATGTATGATCGGGAACAATCAGTCCAGATTATGGCTTTTCATCTCCGTATGGGGAAAGATTTGGTTTGTAATAGTTTATTTTTATTTATAAGTTATTGTAACTTCTTAGGATGCTGTGTGTTGTCCTTTATTCTAACAAGTATTTGAAATTTTTTATATTGATTTGAATTAAAACTAATTATCTTTAAGTGTTAAAAAACAGCCAGTATAAATTCTAAAAACAATGCCTACAATGTCTTTAAAATGAATATCATGGAAGAGAGATTTCCTTCTGGAGGAACTGGTGTCTGAGTGTGCTACTTTATTTAATTAAATTAGAATATTCTCTTTTCATTAGCGGGTGAAAAAAAAAAGATCAAACTACTACATAGAAGACTTTAAGAATGCATATCATAAGAAAATGATGGTGCAGTGGTGGTTTACTGGTCTTTGTAGTTCTTTAATTATTTGTTAATGATTCCTACTCTAAGCAAATTAGAATGACCTGGATCAAAGTAAACAGTTTTCAGAATATTATTCCCTCTCCAGAAAATGGATCCACTTCAGTTACCAGTGCCATGGGTGACTGTCTCAAAAACAACCCAAGGCCTCAAATGTAAAATATGTCTGAGTAATAAAAAGAAATAAGCTTGGAATTTCATGAAACTGAAGATACCACATTCCTTTAAAAGTAGTAACAATGCTTAGGGCCCGTAGGGTGTTTTTTTTCTGAAACTAAACAGTTTACCTTGCTTTAGGTTTATGAAGCAGCATTAAGAATTACATCTTGATCCAACACCTTATATGTAATAAATGTGAACTATTGTGATTTGACATTCTTCCACTTACTATATTTTTTTGTCTGACAGTAGTTGAATGTAATTGCTGGAGAATCATGGGATACACATTCCAGATTATGGCAGTCAGGCCTTGGATGTCTTTGTCACCCCTCTTCAGCTAGTAGTTTTTACATTATCGTAGTTTTCTGAGGTTATTTTATTGGTACTGTTTAAACTTTTAGAAAGAATGTCTCCTGTCTGCTGCTATAACTGACTATTTACTTACCTGTATCTTTTAGCTCAGGAAATGACTTCACCTATACATTCAGTTGAACAAATCTTTAACAGGGTCACTAAATAAATTGGGCTATTTAACAACTGTCATACTGTAACAAATTCTTTTATAAAATGCAAAGTTTCTAAAGCTCTGGCTTGGCTATAATTCTTTTATATAAAATTATATATCATGATTAAACTACCAGCATTGTAAAGAGAAGGTTGAATATTATGGGAGATGCATACAAATATAACAGATTGGATTTAAAGGATTCCAATTATTTTTAAAACTTGTTTCAACTTTCAGTGGAGAAAGGGTTAAAGGGTGAAAGCAGTTGGATAATGGTGCATGTTAGAAGGATGAAGTCCTTTGCATACTAAAGGTACAGTATTGTGGAAAAAATCGTCTTATTACTTTTTCCTGATTGGCAAATGTTTGGTCATCTGTTCTTGTTTGGGTTTTTTTTTTTTTTTGATGTAGTTAAAAGCAGAGTTTAGTAGCTAAATATTTTATAACGTAACTATTTAAAACATTTTTGTTTTCACCGATAGCCACAAGATATTTTGTTTTACTCCTGCAAGGTATTTTTATAAAATGCTGACTTTTATTTTGTATAAGGGTTTTGAGATAGTATTCCAAATGATATATTTCATTTTACTTCCAGTGCAGCTGAAATAATCAGACTTCTTGATTAAATTGAAATCAGAAACTGCAACTTTAAAAAAGGGAGGGGGGAAAAATAGAGAAGTACAAAATATAACTGATTAGTATGTAAAGCGTTATAGAATTATTTCTTGGTTGTAATACAATGGGGAGTGTGGGAGGGCTGTCAGTTGTTGTAAATGGTGGAAATGATTTGTTGTGTAACTATGTAAATGTTAATTGGGACTACAGTCCTCTATTTTGTATATTGGAGCAAAAACTTCTATTAAATAAAGTATGTTCTCTAAAGGTAAGTACTGTATCCTTTGTAGATCCCTAATGGTCAGTCAGCTACCTTTTGTGCTTTATGGTGTTCCCAAATGTACAAAAAGTATCTAGAATTTCCTGCACTAAGACAACTACCCTGAGCCATGCTGCATCATGTATTTTTCTAGATCTTTTGTTACGAGAATTGTTCTGTGGCATTCATGTTTTCGGTGTACTGTACTTTGGAATTAGATTTTAAGTTGTTAGTTTCTGAGGTAGAGATGAGGGAGTGTTTTCATTTACCATTCTTTCTTGACTTTCATTTCCTCAGAAAGGTACCTTGCTATAAGATGTGTATCTGAGTTACCTAAGGGATTTATTGGATCCCCACTTTGAGGGAGGGAGTAGCAAAGGAAAGAGATAAGTGTTAACAGCACTTACATAGGTGAGAGACTGACCAAAGAGTTGGAGTCCAGCATCAGAAGAAGAAAAAGATGCAGCTGGTTACACACGTAAAATTCCGTAGCAAGTCATTCTTTACTTGAAGTATACACTACATACACTGTTCTTCTGGTTTTATAAACAGCTCATATCCTGCCGTATTTGTAGTTGAGAAGACCACATCCATGGCCTTTGATTGCATGGAAATAGTGACTTCAGGTAGCGTTCAGGGCTAAAATTAAATTGTGTTTTCAAAAATCAGTCATAAATCAGATTTAGATATCACTAGGTGACATTCAGATGTCAGTACATAGGGATTTGATGCCCTTTCAGATGTTCTTCTACACCTTCAGACATCCACATAGGATCTTTTTCTTTCTTTCTTTCAGGCAACTTAAAAAGAAAAAAAAAAGAAAGAGAATAGTTACTTGAAACTAGCTTTCATCCCTTTAAGTATATGAATAGATTACAGCAGCAGTACCCATATCTCTTCAATTAACTTTATCTGTAAGAGGAGAAGACTTGGTTTCAGTAAACATTAATCCATTGGTTGCAGTATCACATTTCAGATACTTATGTGACTTTTGTTTAAATGGTTAAATAATCTATAAGTGGTTTATTTGCTCTGAAGGAATGGCTTTACAGTCTGAGATGTTCACTATCCCCCCCTTTTTGTTTGGGTTGTTCTAAGGCCCCCCCCCCCCCCGATAATACAATATGCATGTTTTCTTTTCTGTAATTTTCTTGTAAGGCTTTAAAGTCTGACCTCTCACAGTATCATATGAACTGTATAATACGTAAGTCTTTTCAGCCTCCAAAGTACTCCGTTCATATTCTACATAATCTGTATTCAAGAGCTGTTCATTTTGCTGCAGCTTTGCTGCTGACTGATTGTTATAACTGAACTATGCAGGTCAAATACCATGCAAGCAAACACATGCTTCATCTTCTTAAATACAGAGATCTCTGAAAGCTATTGTTTTCAGTTTTAATGATGGAATGGAGTGAGGCAAAAATAAACTTAGTTTGGTATTCAGAAACATCTGGAAAACTGTCTGCCTTTTCTCAATAATTTTTTTCTGAAGTGAGAGATAATTTTTAATCTAAACTAAAAATCCGCTGTTACAGTTGATGAGTCCCTTTTGGGGAACATCTGTAAGAATGTGTTGGGTATATAAGGAGGCTTGTTTGCAGACATCACCAGTTTTGAAATGAGCTGAGTAATATTTTCCACTTTCTTCCCAAAAATACAAATAAATTATATTCATTCTTTCTTTCCCTCTAATGGCTTGTAATTGCTGCCTGCATAAGAGGTTTTAACGTCTCAGAAAAGGACAGAGATACTGTATACCTAGCTGTTTGTGCAGAGTTCTCTGTTGGCAGCATTAGGGAGCCTTAATTAGAGAAGGATCATAAATTGTGTCCTTGATCTGCATTCCACAGGTTATAGAATCCAGGACAGAAAATATATTGCACAGATTTTTCAGAGAATTAAGAGAAGTAACTTTCCAGTTATTTATTAACACACTAGATATAGAAGCAGCATTTTCTAAAAGATAAAATGTGGCATTTAATGCAGACTTCTGGTGTTTGGGGAATTTAGTCTGTTCAAAGCAGCCTGCCATACTCTTGGCTTTTGTTGCTTATTAGAGATTCTTTCTAAGTATTTGTGTTTAATTTGTTATTTAAGTTTATATTTGAAACTGCCATCTATATACAAATCTATGAAGTTGATACGACTGCACTACTAAATGCTCTTCCAGAAACAGTTCAGACCAACTGCCATGCATACGTGTCAGTCAAATGAAATATAATCTTTTAATGGTCTGATCTACAGAGTGTTTTCAGCTATTCACTAGGAGTATTTTTATTTTTGTATTTTCTGTTCCTGTTTTTAAATTAGAAAAAAAAATCCAAATATTTTACTAGCATGCTATATTATTACGTGATTCAGTATTCATAGATGCCTGGAAAAATCTCACTGCTTGTTATTTCAATTCTGTATTTCACAAATACAGAATACTTTGTGGTAGTGGCTGCTTTAATCAGCTCATATAAGGTACTGCTAATGATGTTCAGCTCCAGTTACATACTTTCCTGTGTATACATTTATTTGTGTTTCTAGAAATGGATTATCCTAATGTTATCTCATGTCAGTCTTCTCTGTGCTTCTTTCATGTGAAGGGAGACTGCTGATACATAGCTACAGGCAGTGTTTGCTAATTTACTGAACTGTGCTTCAGAGAAGATCAATGTGTAAGATTTTTGCACTGAGAAGATCTGGAGATTTCTTTTCTTCTAATCCTCATGCTGCCGTAGTGAAAGTTTTTCTGCTCTTCTTCAATATCAAAAAGACTTTTTTTGCGGTAACAGGATTGAGCAAATACAATCTCTACTGCATCCCTTTCTTCCTCTCTTTAAAGCAACTCAGAAAGCCATTCCAGGTTTCTCCCTAAAATAAGTTTCTCCCTGGTTACAGAACCAGGAAAATACTTGAACAAAGAAACAGATTTATTTTATAAAAGAGATCCTTCACATTGTTTTTCAGTTTGCTTAGATGTGGAGACAGGACTTTTTACACAGAGGTCTATCAGAATGAGTAACAGGTTATGTTAAGACCCATGACGAGCCATATATCAAGGAGGTGTTGCTACCTTTGGTAATTACAATGTATTCTAGCAGGACCCAAATTGCTAACAGCGTTGCTAAGGTGAACCTCCATCCATGATATATGCAGAGCAGCTGCCAAGTACCTACAATGAATATCTAAAGAAAAACTGCATTCAACAGAACTGTGCTTGCTATGCATGTGAAAGCTGCTGAGATTGACCACTCCTGGCTGTCCCTAGCAGACTGAGCTGAAGGTGCAATTGTTTGATATGTATAGGCTGTGTATTCATTCACTTTTTTGCTCTAAGGTTCCAATAACTTCTTCTGGATTAGAAAGTATTAGGGGGAAGGACTACAGTCAAAGATCAAAATGCATGTTCTGCACATACATATCTCAGAGAACATCTGCTAGCATCTTTTTTTCTATATATTTTATACAGAAAAATTCATTAAATAACCAAGGAGAAACAAGACAAAAGTAACTATAGTTTCTAAGCTACCTTTTGTGTTTGCTCGTTGTGGGATTTTGTACAAGATAATATATTTTGGAAAAAAAAAAGAAGGTTAAAAAAGAACCTGGGAATCCTAATACAAGTTTGGCGTGATAATTTGGTGCTTACATTCTTTAACAATTACTGTTACTCATGGAAAGCCACAAAATGCTCGTTTTGGCTAAACTTGGTAACTTAAAAATAGAACTAGCTAGGATATTTCAAGCTTATTAATGAGGATTAGAGTGAGATTGGAAAAAAAAAAAGTTCAAAATTTTCTAAAAACAATGAGCATCCTACTAAACTAAGGTTTGTGCAGGCTGCTAAAGACAGTCTTTATTAGGGGCCTGCATGTCCAAAAAATTATATATCCTAATGTTTATGCTGTACGTCAGATAAATTAATCGGAAGACACAGCTGTTCATTCAACTAAGACTTTCACAGAGAACATAACTATGATAATACTTATAGCATATTAATGTTAGTCTCTTTAACTGCACAAATGTCAACTTCAATTTTAGAAATTGTCTGAGAAGGAATAATGTGAAAAAACAATTGCTGTGTATCTGAGGAAGAAAAGAAATCTTAGCTTTCTGAGAACACTGAGTATCACTCTCCAGAGTCCTGAATAATCCAGTCCTGGTTCAGTATTTGCCTTCATGAAAATTTGTGTATGTTTAAGAAAGCTGTCACAAATCTTTTTTGGAGGACTCCTGCTTACCTGCCACTCACTCCACTACAGCCTAGCATTACAGCCACTGCTCAAGTTGGCACTTTTGCCCATACATGAAGTACATAAAATCTATCTTATTAAGTGTTCCTTGCAGAATTGGATGTAAAATTGGGAAAAAGGCTATGTTAAGTACATTATCCGCTCTTCTATTTCTGTGCAGCAGGTACAGCAGGTTCTAGGACTTCTGCATTTTTTTTATATTCAAGTAATCCTTGTTCTAACTTGCTCTGCTTGGTGGTTTCTAACTGAGGGGCATTTAGCATCTGTTCATGGAGATTAGCTCATTAAGCCATGGTCTGACTGCAAATTCCATTGTTGGCAGTGCACGGATAGAAAGCACTTCCTGATGTTTCATGGCTATTTATGTAAGAACTAAGAGCACTGTGTTTTCTGTTTAGTTCCCTCAAGGGCTGGGCAAGATTGCAGGGGTCAGCATGTAGAGAGATTTAAAAAATACAATTTATCATTGAATTTAATAGGAGTTACATATTTTAAATACCTTTGTGGATCTGGACCACCAGTGGGATAGTGCAAAAGTAATTCCTGCAGAAGCAAGGAGTGCCGAAAGTTTATGATCTTGAATATTTGAGAGAACAAACCTTTAAAATAGTCCTTAAGAGCACTTGTATCCTTAAGAAGCAACAGCTCTTCCTGAGCATCATCCTGGAGATGCTGATTCAGTGCAAATTAATTTTCTGGTAAAATGAATAGTAGTGAGGCATTTTTCCCATTTTGCAAGCAAAGTCTATGTGAATTTTGAGGCTGGAGATGTTCTTCATTTAAAGTCAACTACCAAAAAAA